AAGCCCTGACCAGATTTCAAAAGTAACGTAACGCATTACTTTCCATAAAAAGTAATGAAATTAGTTACTTTTTTAGGGAGTAACGCAATATTGTTATGCATTACTTTTAAAAGTAACTTTCCCCAACACTGGCCATACCCATGAATTATTTTGTCATCCAGCTGCAACCACCAATACAAACAACACCAGCTGGGACTGCGACAAATGCTCCTGTGTCTGTTTATGTACAACAGGTGGCAGGAGTTTCACCTCTTTATGGACTTCAGGCATTTGTGACAGGCCAACCAAAAGCTCTTGGGCTGAGACATTTTTTATCATCTCACATAATTGTTTTTTATGTGTGATTGTCAGTGTGAGGTAAGAAAAGTACATACATTAATTCTAAAGAAGCACACATTAACAAAGCATAAACAATTTTTATTGAAGACTTTAAATAAAAAAGACTTTTCAATTTGATTGCCTTTACTTTGGTGACAATGCAGTAAAGACACCAATATAAGAAAAGGCTTATTATTTAGAATTTACCATGTTTTAGGAGCAAACTATTAAAAATGTGAAGGACAAATTTTGCATATCCGCAAATCAGTATGAGAATTATGTATGTGAAAAATGAAAAAAAAAAATGCAGACTTGTATAATTTTTTTTCTAGTACAATAATAAGTCCATTTGTTACCGTTTTACTTTATAAAATACTCTTTTGTCCTATTCAGAATGTACAATTTTCTTGTCCTACACAGACTGTCCAGATAATGATTGGTCTGATGACTCTCCTGTTTGGCATTGTGTCTACAGTTCATGCAGAATCCATCTTTGTCTATAGTGGTATTCCTTACTGGGGGATCTCTCATCGTAAGAAATTATACAGTTTACAAGCTACAGTAGGTAGTCAACAAAAAATGTCTATTACTGCCATGTGTACCGACACAACAGTGAATACAGCTCATTAACCTCTGAAGCTCGTTTGCAAAATCAACACAGTTGTCAGCATTGCTCAGTAATGCTGGAACTATGTACTTAAGTACAGTACTCAACTAAATGTACTTTGTTACTGTCCACCTCTGCATCCTTATCGCGCCTGCCTCCCATGCTGAAAACACCAGTTCGAATTCTCCTCGGAGCAAGTGAGAGTAGTAGAACCCGAGGGGTTATATTGGTGCCGTGACCCGGACTGGAATGAGGTTTAAGGGGGTGAGTGTAACGGAGGCCAGCTGGTAAGAGCTGTGTGTGAAAACCTCACTCCCCTGATCTCAAGAGGCATACTAGCAACTGATGCTAGAAGCTGGGGTCTTTAGTGTCCTTGTTAAAACGCCCACCTCCCATGTCGGAAACGCTGGTTCGACCCCTGCTCAGACCGAGTGAGGGGAGAAGAATCAGAAGGGTTACATTGGTGCCGTGACCCAGATGAGAACCGGAAACGTCATGTGCCAACTAATTTCTTCTATGAATCTACCTGACTAGTGTTAATTTCGTTAACTAAGACGATGACGAAAAATGTTCGTTGACGAGCTTTTTTCCCCATCACTAAGACGATAAATAAGACTATATCAACATGCAATTTCGTTGACGAAATAAGACAAGACTAAAATGTATTCAAAAAGATAAAAACTTTACCAAAAACCTCTTTTTATTTTCGTCAAAAAAAGGAGACAAAATGTTATTGCGGACTGCTCTACATGCCTCTACTATGTGAGCTCTCGTGTGCGGTTGCCAGATATCAAGAGTTCTAATCCCCGAATCAGAGCTTCGCTGTTACATTGATACATTTTCTTCCCGGTGTTTTGCTTATTTTAAGCGATCTGGCAACCATGCGCAAACGCTCACTCCTCATTGCGGAAGCGCCGCCAACGATGATCTGAAGACACCAACCAACAAGCTGGAGTTTTTGGAGTAAATTTCTCAAATGACAACAATCATTACGATTATAATTTTGAGAAAAAATATTTTTTATCAGTTTAATCATTATACAGAATGACGAAAATGTGACTAAGATTTCACTGACTTAAACTTGACTAAAATGCTCATACATTTCATTGACTTAAACTTGACTAAACAAAAACAGGACAAGGTTGTCTAAATATGATAACTAAAATGTACATTTGAGTAAGACTAAGACTAAATTAAAAATGGCTGCCAAAATGAATGCTGTACGGTTAATTAATAATAATCTTATTGCTAAAATTGCCAAGTTTTCATTGACTAAAACTAGACTAAAACTAAATAGGATAAGGTTGACTAAATATGATCAAAACTAACAAGGACATTTTAACAGGGGACTAAGACTAAGACTAAAATGAAAATAGCTGACAATATTAACCCATTAAAATTACCCCATTAAAATAAATCAGGGTAACAATGTTACAATATCCACAATGCTCGGATCAGATGCTTTCACAAACGCCATTTTATCACCTCATTTACTTTGTTAATGAAAGGAAAACATGCAGCAAATATTTACATTAACCAAGTTTACACCTGGACTTAAGATCTGATCGTAAATAGAGAACTCGAAATACAGGTGCAAACGTTTGAGCTTGTCCACTTCCAACAACTTCCAGAGGTAGTGGAAAACGCATTTGACCGGATTGCTTTTGTGATTTAAACACTCATCTGGTCAAATGTATTCAAACAGCCACAAAAGACGGCCTACTCTCCGCCCACTGATCTAATGCGTAAACATAACGGGAAGCATCTTTCCAGATGGGATACAAACTTTGTCAGCTGAAGTTGTAAGTGTGGTTTGAAGATGAAAAAACCTACCAAGCACAATGTTCTCCACCGATCCTCACTTTTAACTTCCATTTCATCCACAGCATTTGGTGTGGTTTTGAGGCTATTAGTTTTTGCAGCTATCAGCAGAAACAAAAGCTGCAGCTGTCCATATCTTTTTACATTGTCTCATTTCACATTTATGTGTAAATTGTGTGAATATATTTTATCCATTTGATCAAAAGATTAAAGAAAATCCCATGCATTTACCTGCCCATTGACCCCCACCCTTGAAAAAAATGTGGACAGAGTGGTTGAAAGTGGACAAAAGAGACTGCTCGGGTATTTTGAACTATATCAGGGGTGCTTCTGGGAACCTAAAGGTTTCATTGTTTCTGCAAGTCTTTCTACAGTGAGGCACAGTACAGGCTTCTCTCTGGTGTGATTACATGATTCCTAAGATGTTTCCTGTCTGTGTAACTTTCCAGTTCCACACTGATGACATAAAAAGCAGTTCTTTCATATGTGAAAACTCATGTGGTACTTAAGGGCTGCTTTATGTCTGAAACTCTTTCCGCAGTGACCACATATAAACGGCTTCTCTCCAGTGTGACCTTTCATGTGCCTGTTAAGGTTTCCTTTCCGGTTAAAACATTTTCCACACTGTTGGCAGGTGAAAGGCTTCTCTCCAGTGTGAGTTCTCATGTGGTCTTCAAAGTGTTGTTTATAATTGAAACTCTTTCCGCACTGAGGGCACGTGTAGGGTTGCTCTCCAGAGTGAATTCTCATGTGGTCTTTAAAGTGTCGTTTTTGACCGAGACTCTTTCCACACTGAGGGCATGTGTAGGGTTTCTTTCTATGAGTTCTCATGTGGACCTCAAGGTTTCCATGTTGATCAAAACTCTCTCCACACTGATCACATGTGTAAGGCTGCTCTTCATTGTGAATTCTCATGTGTCTGTTAAGGCTTCCTTTTTGAGTGAAACTTATTCCACACTGTTGGCAGGTGAAAAGGCTCTCTCCAGTGTGAACTGTCATGTGGGAATTAAGATTTCTTTTCCGGTTGAAACTTCTTCCACACTGTTGGCAGGTGAAAGGCCTCTCTCCTGTGTGAACTCTCATGTGGCCTCCAAGGTTTCCAGGATGAGTGAAACTCTTTCCACACTGAAGGCATACGTAAGGCCTCTCTCCAGTGTGAATTCTAATATGTCTTTTAAGAGTTGATTTTTGACTGAAACGCTTTCCACAGTGTTGGCAGGTGAAAGGCTTCTCTCCTGTGTGAACTCTCATGTGGCCTCCAAGGTTTCCAGGATGAGTGAAACTCTTTCCACACTGAGGGCATATGTAAGGCCTCTCTCCAGTGTGAATTCTAATGTGGTTTTTAAGAGTTACTTTTTGATTGAAACACTTTCCACACTGTTGGCATATGTAAGGCTTCTCTCCTGTGTGAACTCTCATGTGTCTTTTAATACCCGTTTTACTGAAACACTTTCCACACTGTTGGCAGGTGCAATAACTACTCCTTCCTGTCTTTTGATCCATTTTTCCTGAAGTTATTTCAGTCTGTGAGCAACTAAATGATTTTTCTCCAGTTATAAAATCATGTTGATTCTTATATTGATTTTTCTCTTCCATTTCATTTAGTTCTTGACTCTCCTCTTTCAGCACCATCAGGTCTAAGATGAAAAAAAGACAAATAAAAATGTAAGATGTTTGAGATGCATGCCATCATTGGTTGGTCATGTATACAAACATTGGTCAAACTGCAAGAAGGCGGAACCTAAAGAGAAAGGTCAAAGCCATGCAAAAACTCACACAATGAATGGCGACTGTAGAAAGCAAAAGCTGAATCACTGACATTTTGGGCGATTTAAAAATCCCGGCCAGATGCATTTTATTAGGTCCAAAAAGAGGACGTATGGTCACCCTTGGTGTTGATCTGATTAAATCTCTAGGAATAGTTTGTTAAAATACAATGCCTGAAATGGCAAAAACTACACACAATTTTCTGAGAAAATTCAAAATAACGGACTTCCTGTTGGGTTTCGGATTTTGCTCCAAGATACTTTTTTGTAGGTATTGGGACATTACATTTGTCTACTGAATTTCATACGTTCATGTAAGACTTTATGATCAGATCAGAGTCATTTTTACTCTAGACCAGGGTAGGCAAGTTCGGTCCTAGAGAGCCGCAGTCCTGCAGAGTTCAGCTCCAACCCTAATCAAACACACCTGAACAAGCTAATCAATGTCTTCAGGATTACTAAGGCTATAGTAGGCAGGTGAGTTTTTTTTTCAGGGTTGGAGCTGAACTCTGCAGGACTGCGGCTCTCACTGCGGCCTTCAAGGACCCATCTTGCCTACCCCTGCTCTAGACGGGTCCCTGAAGCACTTGACAGGCAGCAGGGGATATACAGTATATGCTAGTATAAATTAATGGAGTAATAGCATAACTTACGACAAAAGAACCAAGATAAGAAAAAAACAAATGACATGATTCGTGTAGCGCTGCCCAGCAGACACGGCATGAGAAACAAGAGGCGTGGCCGCAATCACCGGTGCTCGCCTCATCATCACCATGACCGCTGCTGTTAAATGCTAAACATATTCCTCACTTCTTTTGTTTGCCCACCGAGGCGCACAATGAGTGACGGATCCGCATCTGCAGAATCGTATGTTTTTTTGTTTGTTGTTGTCTCATACTTTTAGATACGCTGTTATTTGTAAATGCTACTGCTTATGTTAGCTTTTAATATACGGTTTTATCCTGATTAAAGCCGTAATACAGCAGAATACATGATTGCTTTGTAGCATTTTTGTAAAGTAATTGTTTACTTTGTAACAGTAAGGCACACCGAGTCCGAAATTCTCATCAGAAATATTTGCACGTTAAAAAATAAGGTCCCACTTTATATTAAGTGGCCCTAATACCTGTGTACTTACATAGTAACTAGATGTGTACATAGTATGTAACCACAGTGTAAGTACACATTGGTACATAGTATCTACAGCTGTAATGATTGTGTAACTACACATATGTAACAACCCACTGAATGGTATGTGTAAATACAAATGTGTAACAGGACATTGGTAACAACACTTTTTGGTAATGAAAGTACAAATGTGTAACAGGACTAACAGCACTTTTTGGTAAAGAAAGTGTTACACTTTATATTAAGCAAATAATTCCTATGGATTTACCATGTAATTACGGCCAGTAAGTTAGGCTTTGGTTGGTGTCCAGAATGTTACACTTTATATTAAGTGGACAGTTCCTGAGGAGTTACCATGTAAGTACACTGGTATTACAGTGGTGCACCAACTCCACCAACTTGAAATCCAACTCCTTCCACTTTACATATCCCTAAATCTACCCATCTCCACCCCCTGGATCAAATTGTTCCAATTACTCTTATACATATTGTTGTTACAAAATGTACTTATATATGTCCTGTTACACATTTGTACTTACACAAACCATTCGGAGGGTTGTTACATGTGTGAAGTTACAGAAATATTACAGCTCTAGATACTATGTACCAATGTGTACTTACACATTGTTACATACTTCGTACACATCTAGTTACTATGCAAGTACACAGGCATTAGGGCCACTTAAAGTGGGACCAAGAATAAATATGACCTCGCATTGTGTCAATCACGTTTACACACTGCTAGGGCTGTGCAAAAAATCCAATGTTCAGCTTGTCAGTGAACTATGGCTCTGTATAGTAAATGCCGCTCCATCTGAACGCACGTGCTGTAGATTTACTACTAATCACAGGAGCGGCTTTACTGAAGAGATGCGCATGAAAATCGCATTTGATTTTTTGCACAGCCCTACACACTGCATCCGAAAATTTCATCCGTCACAAAAAAATTTGGATCAAGTTCGATTTTCTGCGTTTTCGCATCCGTAGCAAGCATTTTGACAGGAAAGGATGACAAATACGGAAAAAAAACAAGAAAAAACGCATGCAAAAATTTCAGACTCATTGTTGGAGCTGAGCTGATGATCTGAATGAGAGAGAGAGAGAGAGAGATGCAGAGCGTGTGCAGAGCAGGGGGATGCGAGGAACAGGATTAAAAACCGCTGCTTTAGAACATTGATTTTGAAACTTGTGAATCCATTAGAATCGGTAGAAGATTATTCATATATGAATAGATTTTTTCGTGCACCCCTAGTTTTGATGGCATGGCAAAAACTCTTCCTCTTCTCTAAAGCAGCTCAACATGGCCTTGCCCCCTTTGTTGCAGGGTTTATGTAAATTTCAGGGTTTATGATGTCACCAACCTGGGAAGTAGCTTGTTGTAGTCCCTACCAGCCGTATTTGTAGTCATTAAACTGCCATAATTTTAAAAGACAATATCTCCATTTGCATTAAAACTTTCAGCGTTGTAAATTTGCAGATATTGTTTATGCTGAAACAGCAACATTACACACTAACTAAAGTAAAAAAAGTGAAATCACAATTAACCACCCCTTTAATTGCATGTGCATTTCATTTTATTTAAAATGAGAGTAAGTTTAAAGTTAATCCATAATCCATATTTAAATCGGAGTTTAAAGTTATGGTGCAACAGGATTAAAGTTAATCTTAAATATAACGTAAATCTAGGATCAAAATGATGGGTTCAGTGTAAACCTGCTTAAGGTTTAAAGTTTTGTGCTACAGAATTATTAGATAAACTTTGATTTAATCTAGATTTAAGATTAATCCTTGCAAAATTGAACATTAATCTGAGGTGGGCAAGCAGCAATAATGAACAATAATGAAGCGTTTCTTTCACCGAATGTGCATTGTATATGTAACTATAAAATATACTCCCTCTTCAAAAGGCACTTAGTTTCATGTCACTTTTATTTCTTTCAGGATAAATGAATGAATTCATGTGCTGTAAATAAAATCTGCATAGTGCACATAGCCCCTAAATTTACTGACCAACTATGTACATTAACATATAACATTCAACAACACTTTAACATTTATTTACATATATTTGAGAATCTGAATATCAAATGTTTAGCTGATTTTTTTTTCCATAAAATGATTTTGTCTTACTTTAGTTACTCTAATGCCAAGTTCACACTACAGGATTTTAAGCCCGATTTGCAAGTTAACGAGCTCGCCGACATGTCGGGCTGTGATCGGGGGAAAATCAGGGGGTGATCGGCGCTCGGCAATCTTTATGTGTGAAATACTCAACGACGCATCAAAGAGGCTGGCTGACGCGTCGCCGATACCTCACCGACGGCAAACAAATATCTAGCATGCTAAATATCTGGACCGGACGGCCGACTCGACATCACGTGGTGTCAGGTGTCGTGACGAGCTACAGCCAATGAGAGAGCAAGGCATGGGTTGAGGTCAGCGGAAGAAAACACAATAAATGGAGCAAAATGTTTCATCTAGCAAACAGCTTGCAGCGCTAATTTCTTCCCGACATCCATTTTCAATTAAATAACTCCAGTTTCAAGTGTTGTTTCGCGTCATTTCCATTCCAATTCTCGCGTGTGTTTTCGTGACAAAACGTGGTTTGTAGAGTCGTTGGGTGACAGAGTTGTTGTCAGCTTGTGTAGTGTGTAACCCCCGGTTGCGGATCATTTACAGAGTCACGTAGTGTGAACGCCACAATGACTTAAAGTCATGTAGTCTGAACAGCACAGCGATCTGCCGACGTTTAAAGTCGTATAGTGTGAACTTAGCTTAAGTTATAATGGATGGTAGCACAGCATTTTTAAATGACTGTCTTCATGAGTTTGTCTGCATCCATATTGCAGGTTTCCTCTCTCACTTTTAAAGTGTGGTATTGTAGCAGTTATTTCTTCTAGTTCTTTCACTGCTCACGTTTAGTTTGATTGAGGTTCCAGATAATGGCTTAGATATAACACCTAGAAGCATATGATCTCATGCACATGGACAAAGTCTGTTGCAGTTGTTATTTCTATGAAATTATTTTGTCTTTGCTATTCTGTTACTATAAGGCAGTGGCTATTTGCACTAAGTGTAAATAGTGATAGACACTGAAGCAGGATTTACTGACTGCGTACGCACCTCCCCAAACGGACGAGGCGTTTATACTTGTTGCGCTCGCCGTTGTACTATTATTTGAAACGGTTGTGGGTTCATTTGGAGGACACACTACACACTACAAAATAATCAAAGAATTATGTAAAACCCTGTGAAGCTTGAAATCATTTGTGCAGTTAAAACAAAATACTGCATATGGATAAAATGTATGAAACTAATAAAACTAAATTGAACAACAACAAAATATTTTTTTTTCCTCAATCATTTCATTTCATTAACAATTTCATTATTCATGGACTTTCACAAAAAAAAAAAAAGCTAATTTCTGCTAAAGATGTGCCTGTTCTGCTAGAGTCTCCCTGAAGTCGTGCACCTTCAGAAGCAGAGCCACGAGGAAAGTTACAAAAAAAATGCCGTGCACACCACCACGTGAAATGAGGTCGCGTGCACTCAAAGCGAACTTCCGCCAACACCGCGATGACGTCATATTAGCCGCGTGCACCCAAGCGAACTTGCGGACATGTCAAGTATAAATCAGCGCAAGTGCAAATAGCTATAGAATAGCGTACATTATAAAACAGTATGCAGTAATAATGTATTGAGTGTAAATTATCATTTTAATTCAAATTATTAAATGGGTGCCACCTTATTGGAACAATATAAGCCCTCCCTACACCTACCCTAACCCTACCTGATACTTTTTCAACTTTTCGATTATTTCCTTCATTTTTATTGAAAATAAATGCCTTTCCGATGTGATATGAGATTTGAAGGGGAGAAAAAAAAGTTTGGCAAAAGGCATCAAAAACGACTTCGGTACGCGCTTTACCATTTATGCCACTGGAGCCGTTGTTAAGACTATTGTCTTTTGTAGTGTTGACTAGATTAATCACACGTTGGTGGGCGGAGTTAGTGTAAATAGCCTTTGCCAACAAGACGGGGTATTTGCACTTAGTGTAAATAGACACACCGTAAAAATAAATGTCATTACATGTCCTATTTTGACACAATCTCCAAATTGAACTTGAGTACTTACTAAGGGCATCTCATATAAAATCGAACTGCTAAGTCAAACATATTCTACCTGCCTTCCTGATATAAATTACTATAAATTTGATATGGTAATTAATACTGAGACAATCATTTTAAATTACATTAATTTTAGCCAATCATGCTGCCTCTGTCATTTGTCTCTTTGGCTGTATAGCTAATTCAAATGTTTGGGCATATGTGAACACGGCAATTGCGCTCGGATCCGCGCCAAAACAATCGGTCCGAGATCGCCTGAACGAGGTGGTCTCGGCTTGATTGAAAACGAACTCTGGAGCGGATCGGTTGTAGTGAGAAAGCAATCCGATCCAACGGACCAACTAACCAGGCTATATCACAATCTATGATGGGTAATTACGTAAGTTCAGTGAAAAGCATTAGCTTTGTTGTTTTGCTAATACCTCAAAATGAACCTGTGAATGTCTGTGGGTGAGCACATCTTTGCCATTCAAAATCAAAGCGCACTTTTTTATTTTATAATGCCGTCTTATTGCTCTTCTTTGTAGTCGGTGCATTTTAAAAATGTTTTCCCAATCAATCCTGGACTCCTGCTCAAAATTATAAATTTATATAACGACAACTACAAAAAAAAACAACAATAAGCCCGCAAAGCTGTTATCGTTCCATTCTGACAGATGACATGCGTGAGTGACAGCTCAGTGGAATCCAGGAAAATAAACCGTGGAACTTTGACCAATGAGACGACAGTTTACTCGCGTGTGACTTGTATTAACAAATTTGGTCCGTTTAAAAACTTTGCCGTGTGAAAGCGAACCGCACCAAGAATAAAAAGCAACATTGTAATAATTTTGATCCCTGTTTTGGAACAAAGCAATCGATCTACAGGTGTGAAAGCACCCTTAGATTTCTGTTAGCAGCACGTAAGACAAAACTTTTATTAAAATTCTGAATTGATTATAGCATAAAAAAGTGAGCAAATAGAGCTTCCATATAATCACTAAAAAGCTGTCACACACTTCAATTTATCGCAGTCTCACAATGTTCTGTTTATCAGTGAAGTTCTGCTACATAAGCTTTATGTAGTCTTCTGTACTCTGCGTATAAATGTTCAATTCTTATTTTGGTTATTTTATATATATTTTTTAGTTACTTTCTCTTTTGGCGCTTATTTAACTCTTTGAGCTATTTAATATAATTTAATTATGTAAAGTTTTTAGTTTTGTAGTCCAGTGTCCGGTGTTTGTTTTATGTAGTAGGCCAGGGATGGGCAACTGACGGCCCGCAGTGTCTTTTAGTACGGCCCGCTGGATCATATTAGACTCGGATAATCAATTTTAAAACATTTGAAAAGTAAGTAACGGAAAGCAGTCTTTACGTTTATGATGTTACTACTATCTCCAACCAGGAGAGGTCGCTAGTTTCCAACCGCTCCACGAATTAATTACAGTGTAGTAGGACGTGCACTCTAATGTAAACATTCACTAACATTAGCAAATAATAAATGAAAAACTGACCATGAAAACGGTATTTTCAATTCAAGTTTGTAAACAGATTATCTTTCAAGGGGAAAGATAGAAGTTCAAGGGGATGCCTATATGTTTGGATTGTTTGGAAATCTGTATTTAAATTGCCATCACACCACTGCGCACAAACAACGGGGACGCCAGAGTTGCACTTGCCTCAAACTTTAAAGGTAAAATTCAGTCAACAAAACCTTTTTGCCAAATGCATGACAGAAATTTTTTCACTGAATGTTATTAAAGTCCTAAATTTGGAAGCGGCAAGACAAGAATTGCTGTATAGATTAATTTGACAATTAAACTTCAAAAGGCCACAATTTCACTGAATAAATATGAGTGCTGCACGTTTCAAAGTCAGGCGCTGCTGCTTTGTGTACAGCCGTTACCGGGGAACCGCTGTATTCTGCCGCTCCGAATGTGAAACCTGCTGGCAGAGAACGAATTTGCATTTTCAATAAGCCCGTCTGCTAGTTTTGCTACATATTTTTTAATTTGAACCAGTGGATCAACAAGAAGCTAATGCATTATAAAAATCTAGACAATTAAGTCACTAAGATATATTTATATGCTATTTAATATAATGATTGATGATAACGGTTTAAATTAATATAATAGATACTTTTGACTCATCCCTTTTCTTAAAAATTGTTTAAAGGTTGAAATGTGAAGTGCAGGTCTTAAAAGTCTTAAATTTGATTTTTTTTTAAATCCTGCAGATACCCGGTTATTTTATGGTACCATTTGGAATAACTTTTTTTTTTATTATTAAGCCCCTTTTAACTGTCCTCTTAGGATGTTTTGAGAATGTTCTGTAGGCCACTAATAAAAAATAGGACCTCTGTACATTTGTTTGGTGCAAATTTACAGACGATGCAATTGAGATGTTTACATTGGCTTGTTGGGGTAGTATTGCTGTCCACCGACAACAAAGATTCTATTCTGAATTAGCATAACTGCACAAGTTTTATAGTTAATACAATTTTTAAAAACATTACATTAATTATACTTTAATTTCCTTCAATAAAAAGGAAATTGAGTAAGACGGTGTTAAAAAGGGTGTGGACGGGGATTAGTAATCTGGCCCCTTGGTATAAAGGAGAAAAAATGCTGGCCCTCATCACTATCAAAGCTGCCCATCCCTGTTTATATGTATGGATTATAAAATCAGTATTATAACAATAATACAAAAAAAAAACTCTTTGTCAAGGTTCGTACAATCAGTCAAACCTGAACATGGTTTCATTCGTTATATGTGTGTGTGCAGGGTCTGAATTTTGGCACGGGATTGTGGGTAATGCATAAAATTATACATCATTATATAATTACATATAGGTTTCCCACAGAAATATGGCTGTGGTACGTACCTTCACAGAGCATGATTTATTCAGTGACAGAATTGTCACTCACCCAATCTGTCCATTGTTGCATCGCCACTCAAGTTTACCATTTGTATGTCTTTTTAAGTCTTGCCACTTAAAACATTCAAGCGCAATATGCTGCGAAAGAGAATTTTATCCAGGACTTGTGCGCATAGAGGGGTAATTCCCCCCCATTTTCAAAAACGAATTTCAGGCCCTTGATTGCATTTTTTAGTGTTAGTGTTATTAGTGTAGTAGGTGTTAAATCATGCATATATAGACTAACTAAAAGAGAAAAAAAGACAAACTAATATTTTTCCACAGGATGTTGCCACACGATGGGATCCCAAGCAAAAATGATAGGATACATTGCTACATGATAGGATAGCTAGGAGTCCAGAACCTTGTCTAAATCTAAATGTTTTAACAATTAAAACTTTGTTTTATTTAAATACTACCAATATTATGCTATATTGTAAACATGTAATCAGAGGCATAAAAAAGGTCTAAAAACTATAATTATTTATAGGACAACATATGGCACACCAAAAAGCCTACTGTTCACGAGGCGACCCGCTCCATGTCATAAAAAAAATTTAATTAGAGGACACTTATGACATTCTTCAAGAATATCATTTATTTCTGTAGAGCTGGACATTTTAATAAGAATCAAATGAGTGAGTTCAGGTTTGAGAATAAAAACTAACCTATTTGTTCCTCAGTATCTTCTTCTTTGACTCTGAATGTTTCATCAATCTTCACGTCTTCACTCTCCTCTTTAATAAACGCCATCTTTATAATAGTGTCACGTGGATCTCAGCTTCTTCAGCAGGAGTTTTTCTGTGTGTTTGGACACAGTCAGAGTGATTGGTGATGGCCTGAAATGACCTGATTAAGACAAAAACAACGAAAACTAGCACTCAGAACACAAATGATATACAAGTTCCATATTTGTATTAAAATATTATATTGAAAATCATGTTAGATTTGGTATTTTCTGATTTGTAGGCTAGATTCATTATCATTAGATTCCACTTTCATGAAAACATTTACAGTTGGTTTGTAGAAGTTGTCGTTACACGTTTGTGTTAGTTTTTCTCATCAAAGGATGCATTTGCACTGTTTTGAGCAGCAGGTGTCGTCAGCGCGAGTTTAAAACCGCTGATTGACTGTCTAAATGAAAATCTTTGATTAAAATGGTTTAAATAATTCATTGTAAATGTAAAATCAAATTTGTGATTTAAATTTCCCCAGATTATCTTTATTAAAATTGGCAGTATATAATCTATGCTAAAATGTGATTATAATATACACAAGTTACCTGTTAAGCTGCTAGATTTCAATTATTGGAAATTGATTTATAAACAAGTTTCCTCCCTATATTAGCCCTCTATGAATAACAGACACACACTGAAAATTAACAAATCTGTCTTCTATAAGGGCTGGACGGAAAGGTGGTCTGTGTTTGATCTTATTGATTTCA